TATATATATATATATATATATATATATATATATATATATAATTACATTATTACTTGCAATTCTTTATATTTTAATATTACCTATCTGAAGACAAGACTCACTGACTCATACTGAACAATTAATAATTGATTCAAAACAATGACTCCAATTTTTGGCCAAAATACAACCGTAAACTAAACTTACAGCTTAAACCGTGTCTGGATAATTCTACCATGCTAAGTTGTTAAAGCAAAACATCTTTGCATCCATACAAAAGGATTTATTTTCAATGAATAGTTCACTCATACGTCTCAATAAAATTATATTCATGAAGAATAATTATGTCTTAGTAGTCGCAAACTCTCAAACCTCTGCTATACTCTTGACAAATAAAATACATCATCATTATCTGGTCCTTCTTAAGGCTTACTGTTACATATAAGGATGTACTGCTTTCTTTGGAAAATACCTCTAGAGTAAGAACCTGAGCTGCAAGTCTGAGTGAATAAAATTTAACATCGAAGCATCGGTGTTAAATCTCCACACAGTTAGCCGACTATCCGCCTACGCTGTCACAGCGGCTGAACCCAGCGCCTAGTATTAAGAGTAAAATGTTCCTGCTGGTGTGGGAACAAGGGAGAAAGACTTTCAGCCGCAGAACAAGAACAACACGTCAACACTGTTATCGATGCCGAGTGTAACTACAAAGTAGAAACCCATTTTAAATCAGTGGTGAAATTGAGACCACACGACTTATCTACAGAGGAGCTCTCACAGTCCCCTCTGTTATGAAACCGTCATTAGCGAATTGTGCGCTTAGCCGAGGTTCCTGTAAAGAGGGAGAAAGGCAACAGAGAAAATTAGAAATCCTCAATTTGCTGATAAGCAGCCGAGTTAGAAATACTCTGACACTAAACAAGCTAAATATAATTGCTTTGACAGCAGTGCGGTAAAGGGACTGCAGTCTCTCTTAACCTCGGTTTTGTTAGTAATTGAGGCCACAATGAGAAGCTGCAACGTTTTATAAATATGTATATAAATGACTTGAATCTTAGGATGAGAAAGTCCAGTCATGTGACAGACATCAGGAGACAATTTCAGGTAATTCACAGATATAATAATTTCATGGTAAAAACACTTTCTCCAAAAAAACGACTTTATTAGTACGTATTAAAAAGATTTTGGATGCAATTATGTCTCAAATTTGGTTTAAAAAAAAACGGTATGTGTAGAACTTAAAATATGTTGTAATTGCATGGTGATCACACAACAAAGTGACAAACGCACATATGCAATGAGGCAGAGTCTTATACAGAAGACAGTGTGACTTGTCAAAGTGGAAAAGAGAACAGATGTTATTAATAACATTAACGAGGGCTAAGCCAGCAGACCCTGCAACTGAAGCAGCCAAATTAATCACACCTGTGCTTTTCCATAGTGATAGTACACTAAACTGTATATGATCAAATATTTGCATATCTTCATATACTAATACTAATTTAAGTGAAGGAAGCAAAAGCTATTCCTCTGGTAGTTTGGCACTACTCGACAATCATGCAATGCCTGCTCAGTGTAGGAATTAAGATGGAAAGTGGGCCAGACAGAAAAATGAACGAAACTGAATTTAACTTAATTTCATCCTCATTTCTTTGTTACTTCTTAAATTGGAAACTGCTGCTAACAAAACAATCTCAGCTTGATAGCAGCCGTGCTCGGGTAAGGGCGGGCCGACAGCCACAGCTTTAGATGCTGGCGAGATCTCTTCCATTGTATATGTGTTGATCCCGGCTTATTAGAAGACAGAGCCCATTTAAGAAGCACTTAAGCCTCTCTTTTAAGCAAAACCTTCCCAAATCACCGGTTTTAGTTGACACAGCATCCTATCAAGAGTATTAAAAAACAATCTGGATTTTGAGGTGCAGAGATCCAGATGGCAAAAGGCCGTTTTCACCCACAGACATTCTAAATTGTAATGAAAGCGCAGGTGTTACTAATAACACGATCGATGGCTACACTGTATCCAGGTGTCCGGTAAACCCTGACAGTGAGCCAAGCATGCACAATACCAGGACCCTGAAACTGAAGCAGCTAAATGGAATTAAATCAGCCGTTACTATTTACACCTGTGCTTCTCCTACTGTGACACGCGAAATTGGCTTCCATGGGGCCAAAATCATCAACATAACCCAGCATGCAGATGCTGGAATAATCCTGTTGTCAAGTGCTTGCACGAGGATTGAGTGATAGGGCTAAAAATATATATATATATATATATATATATATATACACACGCATACATACATACATACACACACACACACACATACACTGTATATAGCCTATTGCTTAACCCTCCACAAAAGGAAGTGTGCCTTTGCAAAATTATTTAATTTTTGGCCAAATTATGTTGCAAACTGATTTTTTTTTTACCAGACAGATTTTTTTTCTATACGGTTTGGCAAATGAATTGGCTTTGCGGCACCATTTAAAAAACAGGACGACCATTTTCTATTTGCACGGTCTACTTGAAAGGTGCATGCACATAAATTATATTTGATGTCTATATTTGTAACTCTTTCCACAGAGAATCTTAAACATATGTTGAGCTCGCCGAAGATTTAACCATGAAACCATATCTAAGAGTCTTGTTATGGAGCGACACACTCATTATATATACACACACACACACATGCACAAACACGCCATCTTAGTTCTTAGTAGCAGCAAAGAGGAGATTCTCTCAACATATCCCAGATTTTGTGTCTCTTTACATGCTGTAGAAATGCTGTCCAGCCTCATGCAAAAACACGGCAGTTCATTTTGTAGGGCATGTTTTCAATTCTCAGACTATGCAGGCAAGTGTTTAGTGTGTGTGTGTGTGTGTGTGTGTGTGTGTGTGTGTTTGTGTGTTTTCTCTGGCAAACAAAATGATGGAAGAAACCAGGAGAGGGATACTACGCATTTAGTAGAAACCAAAAGGAGTATATTAAGCAAACCGCACTAAAAAACAGAAAGCTGACAATCTAGATCTTTTGCATTTTGTAGCAGCGGATTCTCAGAAGCATACAAAGCTGGGGTTGTATTTGGGGAAGATGCAAATCACATATTTCTGTGGCATCCTGTTTAAAACTCGCGTGGAACCTTTGGTGTCATTGGCATCTCCCTCTCGCTCCCTTCCCCTGCCTCTCTTGGCTGTCAGCTATCAAATAAAGCGAATGAGGAACATTTGCCGAAACCAACAATCTGAATAAGCAAACAAACCCATTAATAATTTAAACCACCGAATTCAAATTAAGAAAAAGAGGGGACACAGAATGGTGTATATTATTGGATTGTCCCTGCAGGAACACTACTGTCCTGTTGAATATGATGAAACAATCCCAACAACAGGGATTTGGAAAGAGTAAAATGGGAACGATGACTTCTGACAAGAAAACACACATCTACTGCTCAACAAGCCTTGATGCCGTTTCTCTGGCATAACACACACACACACACACACACACACACACACACACACACACGTAAAAGGCACACACTACGGTAGACGCAGCGAGGAGGCTATGTCTCACCGGTGGGATGTTCACAGCAATTACAGACAAAGCTGAAGGAGGCAAGCGAAGAAGTAATGCTCCCGAGAACTCACGAGTTACCATGGAAACATCGGCTTCTGAATGAATTTGCTGGAAAAGGAGAGAGAGCAAGAGATGGAGTCCAAATTGTAGCACTAACTACAAAAAAAAAAAAAAACTCTCTCCATCCCCCCCTGAACCGCCAGGAGAAAGCAGAGACGGCAATTCCCAGCGGGCCGAACCACCGTTAGTGATGCTTGCAGCGACTACCACATACACACACACACACACACACACACACACACACACACACACACACACACCTTGTATGTATGTTTGGTGGATATATATATTTTTTTATCTAGAATGCCACACAACAGCAGCACATGCAAATACATATTCAACATTGGCATAACTGGCAAGAAGGAAACCCTATTTTCTGCTTCATGCAAAGAAGAAGGCACTCATTTGCACATTCCAATCCTAAACTGCATTTTATCATGTGGAATGACTTTTCTTTTTTTTTACCGGACCAAAAATGTTGCCGCACTGACACTGTGCAATTTCTTTTTTTTTTTTTTTCTAAACCTGTGATGATGTGTTTGTTATCACTGCAACCAAAATGGGCTCAGCTGCAGCAGGAACGCTCCTCAGCAAAATGAGGCATCACTTACTCGTCGTATTTAATGTGGTAAATTACATCCTCTTCTCTCTCCTTGGTCTCTGTAGCTGCTGGAGAGTCCGTCTGAGACGTGGAGGCTCCATTACTCTCAGAGCCTAACACAACATTATTCCTGTTACTGTCTGTGGTTTGGCCCTGGCTGTAGGCCTGTCCCTGATCGGCCTCCAGCTTTCCATTAGTCCTTTTTGGGGGCCGACCCACCTTGCCCTTGGTGGGCGTTATCTGTCCTTTGGGAGCGCGTGTCACATTTTCGAGGCAGGCCTCAAACCAGGCACCGATGCTGACGTCTCTGCAGTCCACCAGCTCATTAATCTGAGGAGACACAAAGGCAAAAATAACACCAGGTCTCTTTCGGTTGTTCAAAGGAACACGCCCATGTTTTAGGCTATTTGCTACACAACATATATTTCAAAGCATTGCAAAGAGTATTGACTCAGACTCTAACAGATCTAAATACTTCACAGTCACGGTTCTTTCACCTAACAGTCATATAACACATGTATTCGTGTAGTGTGTAGTCAAATGAATTCGTTAGATGACTCACATAAACTATTACCAGAGATTATTAAGAGATGCATTCTTGAATTAAATGTCACCCACGGCACTATTTGGGTTCATGTGTTCCTTTGTGAAAACCACATAAAATATATCCGAGTCGTTGGTGAATGTGTAAAGCCTTTAGAGGCATGTGACCTTGATATCCAGTGAAGCTGTACAAGCTACAGTATTGATCTTCGTGAATGCTGGTCTTATGGCATAAAAAAAAAAGAATCCAGTCCCACTCATATAATTCTCAGACATGTGGGTCAGCCGGTCGGCAAAGCTCAGTAGAACACAGTAGAGTCATCAATGTTTGGGTTTTGACTGCAGTCTATTTATAACCTGTAAATTGGCTGCTGACAGGGTTGTAAATTCCTGTTTCTTATGTGTGGCCTGTGTGCCTGGTCTCCGTGGCAAGGATAGCCACGTGCTTATGTGCACGTCATTAGTCCTAATAAATTAAAAGGCATGTAGGGTATCCGACCTAAACACGGAGCAATTTAACAGTGAGAATGGAAGAATTGATTAGACTGGAATACTAAACAGTAGAAAAAGCACCTCAAGACTCCCGTAAAAAAAAAAAAAAAAAAAGATTGAATCACCAAATGCACGAGGGAAAGCGTGGTTGTGTTGGTCCTTTGAATTTTTTTGTTATGTTCAAAATAACACTATTGCAAACTGTTGCTTAGTATTAAATGCAGATCTATGAAGGCATAATAAGGTATACAACCTAGTATGCAAAAGCATGAACACTCATGTACTAAATTAAGCTAAACCAATAACACATCACTTTTTCAACATCTAATACAGTTATTAAGTGGACTTCAGATTTACAGGGTGGTTTGGCGTTTTCTACAGTCGTGGAGCACAAGATAAGAATAAAGAATCTCTTGCAGTGACTCGGCCTGTAGGCCATTAAATGCTCCGTCAGACCAGTTTCATGCAAAACCTTGCAAATTCTTCCCAAATATGAACCCTCTCATCCTCACCTTGTACACACCAATTCCTGGGTTGACGAGTGTGTTTCTGCTGGATGTGGGCGGCTGGGTGTCCGACGCCGGACTAGAGGACTTGAACCCATTTTTGGTACTGGCCGAGTTACTGGTGGCGCCGGCGTCCGGCTTGGTTTCGTTAACGCTGCCGGTGGTGACGCTGCTACCGTCATTGTCTGTGTTGGTGGAGGTTTCCATAGCAACGGGGGAGGCGGGAGCTGGCGAGTTGCGGCTTTCTGACCTGGAGTCAGAGGGGGGGCCCGAACCGCAGGCCACGCCGGAGGAGTCCTTGGCGGCAGGGCTGTCCGGAGCGTCGGCCTGTGAGCGAATCAGCAGCTGGACGATGTCGTTGAGTCCCACGCTGTAGTCAAACAGCGTCTGGCCATCTTCCATCTGAAGAGGTACAAATACAGAAAAGCCACTGACGTGAATGGATTGACACAGCCAAGCGGTAGAACACTAGAATTGAACGCAGTGCTGCAACACACAATTATTTTACAATACTCTTAGTATTTAGTCTTCAAATGGCTTGTTCTAATTTCTAGTCATAACCCCCAAAAGTATTCCGTTCATTTTGATATTTTAAGCAATTAAATACAACAATTAACCATCACATTTTCAGTCAACGAGTGATTGCATCAACAATTGTGTTGTGCTTCACCATGGCATCAATTTGCCCAAAGATGGTGCATTTGGACAAGTGCACAAATATTCATCAAGGCATCCTTCATTAAGTTTTCTCCCAATTTTCTTTCCTAATAATAGACATCCATGTGATATGAACACCGCTGAGCCACGGACTGCCCTCAGACAAACACACGGCTGCTTGTCAAGGACAAACAAAGAATGCGGAAGACAGAGGACAACATTGAGCTCAGTGAGAGAAAACAATTATGTATTGCTACTCCACTCAACAGCATACAGAGGACATTAAAATACACACACACGCGGCACTTCAATAAATCCACGAGCCTTTGAATGCAACAGCGATGTTTAAGGACGCTGCATTGGGAGTCAACAGCAACAACATATGCTCCGTCCTCAAATGAGCCAATGCGATTAAATGCGAAGTGAACCTCTGAACTGATTTTTTAAAAATGATTATTAAGGGGGAAAAAATGGAACAATTGGCACTCATGATTGGTAAGCTGTTACTACTGAACCAGCGCATTTGAATTGGTTTCACATTTCCAGTCCAACAGAAATGGGGGCTGATCTGCAGCTTCACTCGCGCATATCCCACACCAGGTTTTCTCCCAAGAAATAAAAGGAAAAAAGAAATAAAAGAAACGAATGCATGAATTTAAGTGATAGGAGACGTAGCTGGGGGAAAGAAATGACTGGGTTGCTATGACAACCAGAAGAGAGCACTCCCCCACCCCCGTGAACCTGAATCATGTACACAATCTCTGTCGACACCACCACCACCACCACCATCAGCGCGACCCTTTCAGGCAGCACGGCGGACGGCCATCAGAAAACTGTTCTCTCAAAAAGAAGCGATGAGGGCCAGTTAGAACCCCGTATTTTAATCTTCTACCACAACCGATCCTCTGCTAAGTACACGGTGCAGCTACCGCCTGAGGAATGGAGCTCATGGCGGGGCCCGCCAACTCATTACAGACATCAGCGATTCATTTTCAGCCATCAACCCCACAAGCTCCATTGTACTGGAGGGGCGAGCATGGCCGCCGCTCTCACTCGCGCTCCCTCGTCTTCGTTGTTTCACAGCGAGGAGGAGGAGAGCGGTAGAGGGAGCGAGCGCAATTTCCCCCCCATCCCTCCTTGTTTTTAATAGTCTCATGAAATTTAGATCAGAGGAGCAGCGGTGCAAACACAGCCATACAGCGGTGGCTACACGCTCACCTGTCTGTGTTTCTGTGGTGGTCTATCTCAGCATTTCTTTGTCTGCGTCTCTGCCTAAACTAATCTTTGATTTAGTCTCGGTCTAGTCTGCTCTGTCTTTTGCTACTTGATCCTGCGTTAAGAAAAGCAAGGCGAACAAACACACTGACTAGACAACATCCCACATAGACTACACGATCGCTGGTAGGACCTGTAAGAAGAGAAGTACTGGGTAGATGGGACGGCGAATTATGCAGACAGACCCCCCCCCCTCCGAGCATCACAACAACATACAGTAGAATTCTGTTCACCGCACCAAAACCACAGAAATGGTATCGAAGCGGTGCCCGCTTTCCACAGTGCCTTCTTTGTGTGATCAGCCTCTCGCTGCGAGGTGTGACAGCCCTGACATCAGTAATAACCGGCTGAATAATCCCCCCGAAACAAAGAACCGCCATCTAAAACAGGCAATGTCAGAAGGAATGCTCGATATATTGACGAAGGTCACGAGCTCTTTGACAGAAATGTTGTCTTGTTGACTTTCCGTAGCGTGCGGAATGAATAACATCAAGGATATGACATTTTCTCCTTCGTCATAAATAATGCAGATCAGAAAAAAACAAACACACATTCTGGTATCTTCATTGTGTGACTCGGTGAAATGCGTGTTTCAGAGAGAGAGACCCGAGCACACATCTCAACAAAGCTCAAGACAAACCAGAGACTATTAACTAGAAGCTTTCTCAAAAGACTAAAACCAATCGGAGTCAAAAATCCTCGGCATAGCAACGATGTGTGTGTGTGTGTGTGTGTGTGTGGGGTTGTCACATCGTTGAGTGAAATAAAATGAACACCTCTCATTTCTCTGTTTGGACAGGGAGTCTTTCAAATACTAATTGCTTATTGTTACAGGAACCAAAGTTTAATGTCAGAAAGAACGTCAAAGACAAAGACCTGTGGCTGCTGAGATACTTTAAAAGCAAAGAGATTTGGCTATAATAAGTGTTATTATTGTACCATGCTGTCACACAGGATCTAATTGTAAGGCTTTAAAAAGCACTGGATGCAGAAATCATTCTGAAATCAAACTAACTAAGCAACACCTAGGTATCTATGGCTGCATAGCACTGAGAGAATACATTTAGCCATTAAATGAAAAAATCAAAAGACAAAGAAATCATGGCGGCCCATTTAATATATCAGTGCATAGTTCTCACAAAAGGGCTTAACTGTGTGGAAACCCAAGCTGGACCCGCACTGCTGGTGGAGAGGGGATTTCATACTTCAGGCAGGCCATCCGGACCCTTTACTCCTACACGATTTCTTCATCGCCCTCGTCTCCGCCCACAGGCAGTCTTAGCAAGGAGCTGAGCAAAATAGGTCAGATTTCCAAAAAAACAATGACATGGGGTGTGTCTGTGTGCCTCCCATCTACCAAGCTTCCATCTCTGTTCTTTTATCCCTCATTCATGCCCACAGTCGACCTTCCACCAAAAAAAAGGCTCCACTGTTAATTAGCACAAATTACCTGGAAAGGTGACAAAGGCTGCTTTTTGCTTCTGTATGCAGCTCTTTTTATTATTTGACGCTGGTTTCGACATTTGAATTATAAACCCAGTCTTTTTTAACCATATAACTTATTGAGTTTGGCGTAAAGACAACAATCTTTTCTGTTGTTTTTGTATTTTGTTTCACAACTGATCATAGTTTTATTTTGTTTTTGATTATGAAATGACCAAAATGTTATTGTTATATGTTTATTACCTGGACACATGTGCCATTATTGACACAAGAAGCCCAAACTCAAGAAACATGAGACAGTTGGGTTTATTAACCTGGACAGTCCTCCAGTAATCTGAGCTATAAAACTAGAAACCCTACTATTCACAATGCAAGATGTAAGAGCTGACAGTAGACAGGTTGGACATTTGACCACGACTCAGGCTAAAAGCTTCTATGAGAAGGTGTGGCGAAACTTTGAAAACATGCGGGAGTGTCAGAAAGCTTGCAGTCGTAGTCGAGGTTTAGAGCCTCCTCTCTTTGTCTTTGCTCTTTGTCCGGCCTATCTGTCAAAGGAGGGTGTGACTGTGCGCATGCATGGCTGCAGCCAACTCCACTTCCCCTAAAAATTCTCTGTGAAATTCTACAGCTTGGCAATGCCTCGGAGAAAACCCCATCAATCGAGGAGCCACGACGTCAATGCATGTCTAATCAAATTGTGACGATATCTATCTAGGTCACAGCGACTGTCTGCGTGAAAGGAGGCGAGCCAATAAAGCTTTCCTACAGCCCCAACAATAGGCGACGGCTAACAGCGGAGGACAGCCCAACCATTTAAACATGTTGCTGCCCCAGCAGGGAAAAAAAAAAACACACACAAGTGAGCTGTAGCCTTGTATTTGAAGCACACGGATGCAATACAAGTGGAGCTCTAAACCATTTCATAAACAGGCCAAACCTTTTTTATTTTTTTTAAATTAGCAAATGAGAAGTCTACCACAAAAGTGATAGTGGGCGTTGAGCCGAAAGGCTGCAAGGACAGTAGAAGGTGTTTGTGTGTGTATGTGAGTGTGTGTGTGTGTGTGTGTGTGTGAGTGTGTCTGTGAGACGTTGCTCGAAGTGAAACAGAGACACAATGAGGAGGGCACGGGCAAATTGCAAAAAAACATTAAAAAAAACAAACAAGCACTGAGGCAAAGTTGCATGGCTGCTGGCTCGAGACACTTCTGAGTCAAGGGCAAGCATAACTTTGAACCGGAGAGGCAGCATGCGCAGTGAGCTGGAGGGAAAAACAAGACGCCATTTTGAAAAGGAATTAGACTGAGTTATTCTGCCACAAGTCTAAATCCTAACAGGCCGCGGTGTGTAAGCTAGTGTACGGTACGCTACGGGTCTCTGGCTGATTCCATGCGTTACTTAACATATGGAAATCCTTTAATTAACCCAACCCACTTATTTTCCAGTGAAATGAAGGAAGTACAGGATTTACTGCACAGGCCGAGCCTTCGCAACCACAGCTCCCAACAGGACATGACAACTCCAGCCGGCATAACAGAGAATTCATGAACTAAGCAAACGTAAATTAACTACATTGTGATGGTTACTGTTGATGAGCAGTCTTGCTTTGTCAAATGGCGTTTTTAAGTTGCATGGTTCTGTTGATTTTGGAGGAATTGCTCATATTTTTCTACTAGTTTACAATTAAAAATATGGGGAAATGCATCCAAGGCCACTGGTGCAAAAAGGTGCAACACTATATCTCTTTTCAAATAATGCTTTGCCACCATTACATTTGCCAAGTAAAACTGTTTTTGACAAATGAAATTCATTAGCATTCTAGGAATTAAACTCATTCAAAACACTTGAAGTAGTTTCTTTCTCTCCATATGCAGCATACAAACCGAGAAGAACCTCGACCCATTGTGGACTGTGTGCCTCAGAATGCTCTTGAATGTGACTTCATTATCTTTTACTTGCACAACAGGAAGTAGGTTAGACGGTGTCAACATGCAGAAGACCATTTAATAAGGAATTCCGTGGCCTATAGTACTGCCTGACACATGAATGAAGGAAAGTATGACTAAATGTAAACAATGTCAGATCAACACAACATGTGGGCCGCTTGCTTCCTGCAGGCTTATGTGCCTGACTGAGTCACATTGCGTTAATATCAGCTTTGTGATGTTGTGCTTTAATGCTAAATAAACCATGGCACCAGTGTCCTGTCAGCAGTGCTTCTGCTTATTACTGAACAACAGCTGGTACAGTGAAGGCCTTCACTAACCCTTCACACATTTTACACTTTAGAATACGGTGGGCCTGTCTGCCTCTTCTATTTTAATTATTTAATATACTTTGTGTTTACATCTTTGAATTAACAGAACATGAATAGCGAATGAGACAGACTTCTATTCAGAATGAACTCTTGTCATATTACAGCGCTACATGTAAGGGTGCAGTAAAATAAACCACAGGCTTTGAGGCTGCAATGCACGCTGCATGCGACAATCCGCCATGACACACACAAACACGTGTGTGTGTGTGCGTGTGTCAGGATGGCAGATTACAGTTTTCATACCGTCGTCTTCCCCAGCTGCTGGCATTTAACAACATTAAACTTGCTTCAATCACTATGTGAAAGAGAGAGAGACAAAGTGCACTAACATCTGTTCACACTAGCATATGAATCATCATTCAGTAAGAAATGAATCCTCACATTTCTAACAAATGATTTAAAAGTATGGAATTTCCATCCCACCAGGACAGTGAATACTAATTCCAGCCTGGTTATAACATTAAGACCAAAGATGTTATTTTAGTCTTGAACAATAATTGTGGTTTTTTGCACTAGTTTCCTCCCAAAAAAAGTGACACTGTTACACCGTCCCAAACATATTTTCCCCAGAGCACTGTTGGTTTTTTAACAATTCGCTGCAATTCGAGTCATATTGTAAGATGTAGAATGACACTAGTGTTTTAACTGTAATGAACTTCCAGAGTCACACTGATGATGTATGACTGAAAATAAAATCCTGATTGATACATTATAAGCAAAGAGAATATAATTCAGTATCATAGAAGGGATGGGCACCAAGGACAAAATCAATATTGTAAAGTATAATTATCATAACATTACAAGGATAATGATACTTTTCGAAAACTATTTAAAAATATTTCTTGAATTTTTCATGATATGATTATATGGAGAGACAAAGTGCTTATATGAGCTTAGGTACAAACTCTTGAGCAGTTCTTCAGGCCGCACTACTGATGTAATCAGACAGGTGCAGTAAACCCAAACCACATTGAATTGTTGGTGGGGTCGTTCAGCAGAGATATCTTAAAAATAATACTAATACTATGGCCCTCATTTTGGTGGGGTTAAATGTAAATGCAAATCAAAATCATATGGTACTGAAGTACGACTTAATATCTGAAAAAGTCCTTTGTTGAATACAAAACACGCCCAGGACGCATGACACTCGTCCTTCTGAACCGGTGTGTTATACACTATGTGCACTACTGAGTTGTCAGGATAATAAAAGACAGGTAGCCATCTTTATAGTCCGTCCTCACTGTACAGTGTGCGTACCGTAGTGACGCCAGTGTGTAAACACTACACTTGCTTTTTAGATGTCAGGGCACGTGGAGCCACGAGTCCCCTCCTCTCTCTCAAATTATCATTAACATCATCATCATCATCATCACACACCACACGCACGAGCCTGATGGCTCACTAATGGGCTCAATGCAGTTTATTGCACGTTTCAAACACACAACAGAAAAGCGCAATTTGATAAATATATATATGGACGATGGCCGTTGCACGTGTAAATCAAGCCGCCGTTAATTCGGTTTAACAAGTGCTCGTCGGTGAGTGATGCGCGTTGGTGGTTGTGGAACAACGGAGGGTGATGTTCTTTTCTCTCTCGCGCGGCAATGTAAACAAACATGTCTACGTAGGTGAGACATGTGTTGCATGCAGGTTTCCCTCAGTGCAAACCCAAAACAATGCAATACGGTTCTATTACACGACCAACACATCCATGCGATACGGCTGTTTTTCTCTCGGGGGGCTGGCTCCACCGCGTACCCCGGGCTCTTGCGCAACAACTATTGGCGAATTCCTATCAAAACAGGAAGCTCGCATGGGTCCAAAACGGCTACAAAAACCGGACGACCACTCACTCTCTCCAGCAGCACCAAAAGCCTGCCAAAACATCCAAAAACAGACTGTTGCATGACGGGAGCGACACAAAAATCACGTTTACCTGCTTTCCACGATAGAATAGGCGCTGCTGTGGTGGGCTTACACTGAAGATCTCCTGTATTTTCAACCGTAAAGACTCAATTTTGGTCAATCTCGAAAGATCCTCAACGGTTCGCGTCTCCTTCCCGTCTATAGTGCGAATCTGGATCCACATTGTTGCACCGCCCTGTTAAGCCTCAAATAAATAGCAGATGAAGCCGTATTTTGGATACGAGTGCTGTTTTTCCTGGGGTCAAATGAGATGGAATTGCCAAATATTCAGGGCTCCATTGCGTTTTCCTCTGCAGAGGTAACGTCGGACTGGCTCGCGCAGGAGGTGTCTCACATGAGGTCGCGGCGCCAAGCAAATCTCGCGAAATAACGTTCAAGCGAGCACAGCTCGCAGTTAAAGGCACAGCTCTCCCTTTAATGTAGACAAATAAATACATAGCCTCGTCTGAAGGCCTTTGCAGCACAGTTGTAGGCAGCTATTATAGTGGTTCCACTTATCAGTCTTATAATATGTATGTGCAAGACACATGGACCAGAAGTTATTTATCTATGATGTGTTATTTCTGTCAATATAGTAGCCTGATAATATCATTTTGACACAGGCCATTCTGCTGCATAACGAGTACTTTTACTTTTGATACTTTCCTTTAGGTTCACTGTGTGGCAACTTGAAGAAACACAAATTTATCAATACATAATGTAGGCACAGTATCGACTGTGGTAATTAAAGTTTTAAAAGTAGACTTTGACACAGACGCTTCAAGTCAGGGCCTCTGTCGTCTGTCATTGATCTTTAGCAGTGCATATTACTATATTCTCAAACAAAATCACAATCAATCAAAAATGCAAAGCAATCATCACACAGTGACCCTGGGGACCACTTTGTTTGACTGGTAACCCACTGTTGGTTAAATGTAGTGTAGACCAAGTCCCATGTCTATTGTCCTCACATACAACATTCACAATGCTGCTGCCACAGTGCTAACAAGAAACAGAAATGCTTAGCCCATTTGCTCAGGTAGTTATATCATTGATTTTAAAGTGCTGCTGCCTGTTTACAAATCATTTAATGGCCTTGGGCCAAAATACATGCCTGATATTCCTGAAAATAAACCTAATAGGCCTCCGAGATCTATAGGAAGCAGTCAGCTTGTATAAGCTAATACCTTGTGTCAGAACCCAACAGGGTGAAGCTGCTTTTTGTAGCTATATACGTTTTTGTCTATCTTCAATGTCCAATGTGCCCGTCAATGTCTCCTGTTCCCCTGTGCCTTTGATTCATTGCACTTTTATTTAGTGCAACTTACTATCGCACAGAAACGGTATGCTGAGAGGACGACTCTTTATTTTTTAATTGTCTTTTACGCTTTTAGGTTTTAGGTTGAAGAAAGTCCTTTTACAAATAAATGTTCTTTTGTATGAAGGGTTTGCAAAAACAAAATAATGTCTTGTAGTTGGAGAACAAAACGCAGTCAAAGGATTCAACCACTGACAATAGAAAGGACAGAATGAGCCAAATGAGCAACAGTTGAATACAAATAGAAGAAATCACCAGACTTTAGTAACAGAAACTGGAAACTTAGCATGAAAATGTGTGGAGATTTAAATAGAAACAGGTTCTTGTTTCATAGTCAAGTGCACATTAATGCAGTCTATAACAATCTGGAATATGAACAGGTGTGTTGCTTAAGCTATTCTTAAAGCATCACAATAGGGTTAGCACTATTGGAATTGGATCACAGAATATCAGCTTACTATGGACAGACAAATCACAGTTTGAACCTATATTCAATGTATCCACTGAGTAGACTGCAGAGGGCCCAAAGAAATATGGCTAGTCAAAATGATTAGAGTGACCAAAAACCCAAAACTGACCCAAAACTATGGTTGAATTAATTGCATTGCCTTATGTAAAGCAAAATCTTTCATTGTAGGAATATTGATCTTAATTACTGAAATACAGTGTCTCAGTTGAGTATGTTTTCATGTCATATAATATTGTTACTATACGATGATAGGATGAATTATAATACACTAATCAAAAGACCAATACATTTTTTTTGTAAACTGCCTCATAAATCTGCCTTTCCCAAATGATATAGAAGCCTAGAACTAAGCCACTGTAAGTCCCCCCTAGAGCCCCCATCATGGGCTTGGCACTATCCATATCCCTCAAAGTATTTATGCACAATATTGCAATGCACATGAGGGAAAAGAAGGCCTATTGTTGGACTGAAAACCCCTTCCCTGACTATACCTCCAAGCTGAGCTAAAATCAATGTAAAGCACATGCCTCTCGTGGCATAACTGCTTAATTAACAACTGTCTCAGCTGGAGACCTCCTTGAGGGGCCACCGGCAAGAATGTTCTTTCATAATTATATAGGCCTACATCTGCACGCTTTCCCGATGCTGTGTTTTCTGCATTTTGCTGATGTGACTTAAAAACAACAACATTGCAGTTGTATGAAAACAATGTGGGGTGGTATATATGTACAGGAACGCTGTAATAAAAGACCAATCTGGTGATTACCAACTCTAATCCCCCGTCTCAACCTTCAGCAGTGGAGGTCTATATACAGCGGCCAAAACATCATTTTTTTGGGACTTTCATACCCTGGTTAGAGTCTGTCAGGTAGTCAACATTTCCAAGCAGTGTACAAATTCTGCCTCCAGCGATATGATTTACACACAATATAGTCCCAAAATAGCCATGACATGAATAAGCATGTGATGGAGGTTTTTCGAGTCGGTTAAAAAACAACCTGTATCCAAGAGCAACCTGCGAGGCTAAACAAGGGGCAGAAACAAAACTCCACTCATCATGTGTATGTGGTACATTAGCGACTAGCGACATCTAGCGGTTAAAAGCTAGTCATGCGTGCTGCTAAATAGACTCTTCTGTATCTAATTGAAATATGCTGTATCGCTCAAGTTATAAATAAGAGTTTACAATCGTATGCTGCTGACTCGTTGTGCGCAGTGTTTTTTTGTCGATGATGAGCATTTTTTCCGAATAAGAGCTGTCTCGAGAGGCTCCTCTTTCAGTCATAAAGGGTGATACAATCACATTACGCTTAAGAATACAGTGTAAAGGCATACAAGTGAGTATGTGTCAGCTATAGACCAAAAAAAACCAAAATAACAATTTAGTGTGACACGCGACCAGCTCGCTACGTCAAGCTGCGCACATTTGCATCGGGCGCACGCAGGGTGGAAGTGAAGTGGACGGAACAGTAACGGTTTGTCTACAAGCCAGGCAGTAATAGTCGGTTACTAGCTTATTGTAAAGCCTACAGGGGTTCAGAAGATATCCGACACATGGCGCAAATTTGCCTCTAACATTTACTTGTCATAAAGTGGCTGTCAACTTTGAAAACCTAGCTGGTTAGCCGGGATGGCTAGTGAAAATGAACTGTTATGCATTTGTCGGGGACAATCGGCTAGCTAGCGTTACCCGGCTAATACTCCTTTAGCTGTCTTGCTGTCACTGACATCACTTCGTGCGCTGACATGAGAGGTCTGCATAACTTTTTATCTGCTCGACATTTAATTGCTACAATTCCTCCATTATGGACAGCGAACGCAGCAATTGCAGGCCCCAGAATGGAGACAATAGCAAGCTAACCTAGCTAGCAGGCTGCCGTGGCTGCTAAGCTCGCTAAAAGCTGTCTTTGCCTGGTGCGTGTCTGGAGCTGCACTGAAAACATCGAGGTATGTGTTTTAACCTGCTCTGCCTCTAGTCACTTTTGGTCTTTATTTGCACGTGACAGGAGACGGGGCAGTGAGCTGCAGATCTCTCTATGAGCAAGCAGAACAAAGTTTGTTTACTTATTGTTGTTTTAACTACCGTTAGCTCGCTAATAGCTTTCAAGCTAGCTAGCCATTGATCCAGGGACAATTAAAAGTTTGCAAAGATCAGGCAGGTAGAGAGAGAGTTTAACTGCTAGTAGTTTGGACACAATCACATTGTTATAAAAATGTTCAGATTATTATGTGGGTACAATAATGTGAGCACCTGCCATGCCAGGAATTGTAATATCAGCAAACTTAGGTATGTTAGGTATGAACGCATCATCTCCCTGCTGTCACGTCTTGAGGACCTCGCAATAGAAATGCTCACAAAGCTCTGTTTATTTGTCTTGGTTTAGTTTTTTCCCTGGCATCAAAACTTTGTTGCGAGTGTTGTTTGCAGCATCAATGTTCACCATAGATGTGCCACTTGTTACCCACTTCAGGTGCCTGCAGCATGGATCAGTTGGATGTGACAGACCAAATCACTGCAGCTTGTAACCAACCATTGTTCCGCAACCATAACCTGACTGTGACTGACCAAGACCTTGCATCCCAGCAGCCCGGCTCCAACATAATGTCTTCACAATCCAAATGGGTGAATAGTGGCACTGAAGACACTGATTTGATTATAACGGAGGGTGGGCTCAGTAATGGCACCTGTGAAGTTGAGACTATGGTAGCGTTGTACTGTCCTGGCGACAGTGGTGATGTCGCTGCTGAGGGCGACCGGCTTGCACTTAGCAATGATGGCATGACTGAGTTTTCCAACAGTGACCTCTCTCTGCCCGAGGTGTGCATTTCCACCAACAGCAATAGTTTTGAGGACGATATGAACTATGAGGTCCAGCAAGCGTACAGGATATTCACAGGCTTTCTCTCGGACAAGCACAAAGGGATCACCGGCCCGTTCCTCCATCCCATCGGCCACCAGGAGGCCCAGCACGGCATTGGAGGGGTCCGCGGCTGGGGTCAGGCACAGCTCAGGCAGTCGATGTGCTTGCGGAGGATGGAGGAGAAGTTCATCAACCGAGAGTATGAGACCATAACGGAGTTTGTTGCAGACTTCCGGCTGATGTTGGAGAACTGTTATCGCTACCGTGGAGTGGACCACTGGATCTCCAAACAGGCTCAAAAGCTGGAAATCATGCTGGAGCAGAAACTTACATTGCTGTCCAGGTAAACATGTATTGTTTTTCATTAATGAGAGAAGGGAAGTTTGTTCAGTAGCATACAACAATCTCAGTAACATGTTTTAAAATGGCCCCAAGCTAATTCTATATGCATTTAGAACAAATGTTTGTCTGTGTGGTTACATCAGTGGTGTCTGTTTACTTCCAACAGTTAATCAACTTTAATCATACGTCATATTTTCTCTGCGTCTGTCAAAACTCCAGGACGCTACGAGAGAAGACTACTTTGACGGTGACGTCTAAAGGACGTTTCGGTGCAGAGGAGGAGCGGGGTTCAGGGGGCACCTCGACGAGGAGGAGGCTGGCCCCTCGTAGCCTGGCTACCATCACTGTCGGGGGCCATGAGTCTGTCATGGTTCAGGCCCTACGGCTGGAAGAACAACAGAGGGCCAAGGAGGAGAAGAGGTGAGTGAATATTTGAGAGAGATTTCAAAATTGCTGTCGTAAACCAGCCAAGAATATGTCTTTATTTTATTTTATTTTCAGGCAGCGTGAGCTTGAGAAGAAAGAAGCGGAGGAAATGTCGGCCAAAGAGGTGGAAGAGTGGGAGCAGACTTTGCTGACACAGGCTTCCCCCCACACCGTGGACACACTTTGGGAACTCCCTGCTATAGGGCACTTCCTCTGTCTTGCTCAGACTGCACTTAACCTCCCTGAGATTGTATTTTTCGATGTTGAGCGTTGTTTGCTGATGCCCCGCTGCAGCCTCCTCCTGTCCAAAATCATGTCTTCCCTGCTGTCTCCACCCCAGCGGAGGGCCACTCTGCACCGCCGCCCCGTCCTACCTTACCGCCGCTGGGAGTCAGAACTCAGGCAGCGGGTCATGGGCTGGTATCGAGCTGTCGGTGCCTCGCACAATCAGCCGGGTCGGGCTGAGCAGTTGGGACTCTCCCACCAGTTTTTCCGCACTCTCGGGGAGGTGAGTCCTTTGGAGGAGAAACCGTTTCACTCGCTGCCCTTCCACCAGCGAGTGTGGCTTCTGAAGGGGATGTGTGATCATGTGTATGAGACGCATAAATATGTGCAGGAGGCCCTCCTAGCCCAGCCCATCCATGAATGTAGGGAGTCTATTTTGGGCTATGACGGCAAGGAGAATTGCTATATACATTTCCCACATTTCTGTGGGGCAGACCTGAGAATCTACTGCCAGAGCCCCGGCTCACCCCCGGTTTTCCCTTTCCCTTCTGTGTGGGTCAAACCAGCCGATATAGAGCCAGGGAGCGAGGGTGAGGAGTCGGATGGAACGAAGGAAGAAGGGGTTACAAGTGACAGAGGGTGTTATGGAGGCTCAGTGGACACAGGAGAGTCTGATGAGACACTCGGGGGTTTCAAAGGGGAAGTAGAGGAAGATAAAAAAATGTTTGAATCGTGGTCGCCGAAGAAGGAGGGGTCTGAATCAGGGTCCTCTGATGGAGACTCCTGTGAAAACTCCAAATTGGACTTAGAAATTCACACTAACTCCTTTTCACATGCTAGTCCTGTTGGAGGAAGTGATGTGGAAATGAATTTGAAAGAAGAGACTGTGGAGTCGGAGTGTCCATCCAAGCGACTCGCGTTGAAACGGGAGCGGGGCTTCTCATTGAGCTCAATGCGCACCATCAAAGCAGAGACACAGGAGCCCTGTCTGAGCGTAGGGGAGCACAGCTACACGGGCAGATCACCTGCTCGCTTGGTGAACCTGGCCTCCCCTAACAAAGCAGTCAAAATGGAGGGAGGAAGTCCCAGTCAGCAATACCAAAGATCTCCCTGTTTGGATCATTGCAAAAGCAGTGATGTTAAATCTGAGGAGCAGGACAGCTGCTGTGGCATGTCAGGGCAAGCGACACAGTTGTCTTCTGAGAGTTCTCAGAATTCGAGTGAAGAGAGGGTGAATGACAAAATCTGGACCAAAAAAAAAAAGCGGAAGAAAAAGAGAGAGGAGGAGCAACTGCCGAGCATGAAAGGAAAGCGCAATCAACAGCAGCATGTCGACGGGATGAGGCCGTCCTCGGCGGAGACGACCGAGTCCACCGTGCGGAGATTTTCCAGAACGATCAAAAGAAAAGACAAGAAGAAAAAACATAAAACAGGTGAGAAAGAGCTCAGTGTTGACCGACGATTTCTTTTGGTCTTGCATCAAACTCATTTGTAAGTGAGCAGTCAAAGCCACAATGGGATATTTTCATGATTTGCTTTAATGCAGTTTTCAATAATAACATGTTGGTTCAATGATCATAACTGTTATCTTGTTGACAGGAAAAAAGCTTGAACCTTTAAAGAAACTTAAAGATGAACCTCCAGTTGAGCCATCATTTAAGGTAGTCCCACTCATGCTGAAATATACACACTTATTCCTTTAGCAGTGTATCTTTAATGTTGTATTAATTGAGTAATCATAAAAAAAAAATGGTTGAAAAAAGGCAGTTTCCCTTTTTAAGCCTCACCATTCTTCTCCCCCTCTTTTTTCCTCTCTTTCTTTACTAAGAATGACTTACTCTGTTCGTTATTTCTCCTCTGTAGTTGGTGTGCACCAGTCTGGAGGACTTGCGAGAGCTGATCAGTAAGACGGAAGACGAGCTCGATGACCTGGAGAGCATCAAGAAGAGATTGGTAGGTGGCAATCCTAGTTCTGCCAAGAGGATTTACTCGCATGCCCCCGAGAGCCTTCTTTATTTGGTAGAGAATACAATGTTGTCACACTTTTTAATGTTGGTGACTTGACTAAGGTTTCCTTTGCATGTTGAAATCGACAGGGTCGGTGGTATTATAGGAGAGAAGCCGTGAAAGACCTCCACAGCACTCTAATCAGACTACTGAATGAGCTTTCGCCCTGGGAACCCAAACTTGTTAAGGCCTACCAAAGGAACCGGTACAGCTCATTTGACATTTAAACGATGACTGGATCAAACCATCATGATTTGTTTTTAATTTTTAAAAATTATTTAATTTTCCATGTTATTATCAGGATATAGACTTTTGCAGTTTGAGCTCAGCTGACTAGCACAACGCATATGACTGAGCGCATTTTTGATTAAATAGCTTTTTGCATCATAAAATCGTTGCTGGACTAGAGACAAACCCTCTATCTCTTCTTCTCTTGCTTCTGCATCAGGCTTCGTTTGAAGAAGGAATTTGAGGATTTCAAGAAGCACCCCGACTACAATAACTTTGTGCGCGAGGAGAGCGTTTCGTCGTCGTCATCCTCTGATGATGACGACGACGACGATGATGATGAAGAGAGGGGTTTGGGGAAGGATGCGTGTTCATTCTCGGATCATTACGGGCGATCAGAACAGGAGGACCTGGAACACATGGTTCCCAGAGGTCTTTGGAGTGGAGGTAAAGTCATTCACTTTAAATCCAGTGTTTGAATTTTGGTTGCTGTATTGTAGTGATAAAGAAATGTGTGTTGCTGGTTCTAAAGGCTGCATTTACACAGCTTGTTTAACGGTCCAAGAGGAATTGAAATCGATGTCACCACCTGTCTGTTAAACACTGTATAGATGGCTAATTGATCCCTAACGGACTTCTCTGTGGTGTTCTCAGGAAACACCAGGGAGTTTGTGGCTGAGTCTGCTGGAGAAAGAACGGTGAAATACAAACCTCCCAACCACATAAAACAACCTCTGGTCAGCGCAGAGAAACACGTCAATCTGCTGCAAACCAGTCCGACTGACAGCACTAACGTTACGTCGACCCCTGACTCTGGGCCACAATCTAGATCTGAAGTGGGACGATCAAATCAATCCAGGGATTCCGACTCGGCACGGGCAGCGAGGGTGACAGCCCCGGCTTCACTGTCACCCAGAACCCCCATCCTCCATCCCACCACTGGACTACCTAAGGGCTACACGCCCATCCCCACCCTACTAGCTAAGAGTGTGGGAAACAAAGTGACCTTAATGAAACGGCCTGCTGATTTTACAGGGATCAACATCATAGATGGACAGCGCAAAGGGTCTTTGGTCTCCCTGCCTACCTCTACAGTGACTACTACAAAACTCTCAAAAGCACAAAACTCTCCATCACGTTCCCAGGAGAACTCGCAACAAACGCAGGCACAAGGACGACAGCCAGGGATGGCTACCGGGACGGCAGCTCTTCCTAAATCACCACAGGCAAAAACTACCCAGACTGTGACAAAAAGTCCTGTCCAAGTGGTGTACAAAGTACCCGAGGGGCTGGGTCACCTTGTAAGGAAAGACGGCGGCAGCCCGGTCAAGATTTCGGTTCATCCGGTCATGGACCAGAACACCGGGGAGAAGATTAGGCAGCAATTGGTGATTCTGCCTTCTAACTTTCTCATTCACAAAGCTGAAGAAGAGGCGCCTCTTTCACATCAACAGTCTAAGGTCACCCCGGCCCCAGTTTCTAAAGTGGCCAGCCCCTTCTGTATGTCCACCAATGTGCCTGGGTTCACCATTTCCGAAAACAGAATCCCTGTTCAGCAGGTGGCCCCCCTAAAAGATGCCCGGACGGCGAGGACACCCTCTCCTTCTGTTTCCCCTCGTCTGCAACAGGGGGCCCTAAACACAGCAGTGCTCAAGGGGCCCCACGCCTGCAGTCCCCGAGCTAGCACACCTCAAAGTGTCCCCCCCTCACACATCACTACTCCTTCTGGTGCAGTTTCTACTGAGCCTATCAAATCCACAGACCCTAAACAGGAGCTTAAGACTATGTGTATCCGTGACTCGCAGTCCATCCTGGTAACAACTAGAGGAGGCAACACGGCCATCGTTAAAGTCCAGACGTCCTCGGACCTGAATGCCCTCGGTTCTTTGCACACCAGTCCAGTTATCACCATCTCACCTCAGTTAAAAGCCTTCCTCGTCTCCAAGACGTCACAGACTCTCTCTCCTTCCGCTGCCTCTCAGACTTCCCCTTGCACGTTCCCAGCAGTGACGAGTATCTCGGTGGCCCAGCCTCAGAAGCAGGGTCCTTCACTATTAAAGTCCCTTTCCAGTCTCACAACTCCCATGCTCGCTGCTGTCACTGGTAGCGTTCCTGTTACAGGCCCAGGAAGCCAGACTACAAGTCAAGGCTCCAACCCCGCAGCGGGTTCTACAGCTGGTTCTCATTTTCAAGCTTCACTAGTAAAAAACACTGTTGTCATCCCATCACTGAGTAATTCTGGTGTTCTCAAACAAGCGGAGTTCATCAGCAAGACTGGTATGAAGCGGGCAAGTACCGACGAGAGATCCCAAGTCACTAAATTCATCCTCGTTACGCCCTCTTCTTCCTCCACCCCAAATGTAGCCTTATCAAAAGCTACGCCCTCTTACGCAAAATCACTTCCTACTTCAAGAGTCATGTTTATCAGCCAGCCAGCAGCAACATCATCCACCACCACCACCACCACCTCTGTGGGAAGCACTCCAAAACAGGCAATAGCAACAGGGGTGAGTGGACAGCTGCTGACCACTTCATTATCTAGTCCGACTTTGAAGATGGGATTAAGTTTAGGACAACCTGTCGTCAGCTCAGAAGCATTGTCCAAGGTCAAGAACATCACTCTGCCCTCAGGTGGGTTTGTTTGATGTGATGTTTTTACAGTATTCTCATCATGTCTGCCGTATGTTTGTCTGTACATTTTGCAGCAATGGGACATGAATGTTGAATTCATAATGTAGTTGGATGAATGTATGTGAAGCTATGTTTTTTTTTTTAGATGCTACAGTATTTAGTAGTCTAAATGTATTAAAGCGATAATACTAATAACCCTACATTCCAGCCTAGGGTCAACGTTGAGCTATTGAATGAAATATCTCTTGTGTGTGTCTCTAGGTGTTCACATCCAGCTGTCAGGGAAGAGAACCATTGGACAGACGATAGGTGCCCTGTCACGTTCTCCTCCCAAGAGCACCCCGGTGTCTGCCTCAGATACAGGCCGTCCAACAGCCGCCGCCACCACTGGACTGACCCCTCTTACGAGTTCTGCCCAGCTTGCCTCCAACTCTTCCCTGATCACCAGCTGTCAGCTCAAGGGTATCCCTTCCTTCTCCATGATCTCCCAACCAGGTTCTTCCACATCCACATCTGCTGCTGCCGTTCTGCCGGCAGGAAATGTGATCAAGAAGGACCTTTGTGCGCCTTCGAGTATACTGTCCAGCAACTGTCCTGCTCAGGTAACTACTAGCGGGCAGAGTAGCCCGGCCCAGACCTCCACACCCGCTCTTGTCCGTCATCCTTCAAATATCCAAAGTGGAGCTGGTGAGGAAACCACTTCCTTTTTATCACCCTCTCAACTAGCTCACAGTAAAACCAAAACACCAGTCTCTTCTGCAACAACCACCAATATCCCAATCACCACTTCTGCTGCTGGCACGATCCAGCAGAGGATAGTCATCAACACCACTACGCCTCTTGCTGCCGGCACACAGATCGTCCTTAACAATGCATGTTTTGTAGTCCCTCCACAGGGTTTGGGTCCAGGCAGCCATGTCCTTATCATCTCTAGCCCCGCACCACAACAAGTGCCTACTGCCAGTGCTACCAGCGCTGGTGCATCAGTACCTCCCCAAGGGGCAAGTCATGTCACTGTATCTCCTCGAGCACCGTTTTTACCCGAGTCCCCAGCCAGGATGCCCGGTGTGCCAGTAATAAGTTCTCCTTTTGCAGCATGTACACCTGCTGTTGGTCCATCACTGCTTTCAACCTCTCCAAATGTCACGCCGGTCCGGCTAACGGGAACGCCGGGCTTGGGCTCAACGTGGTCACCCAGTAAAACAAATGTAGTGTCTGCTCTGCCTCGACTGCCAGCCACACAGGCTGTTAACTTTGTATCCCCACCTGTAGGCACACCCACTCTGGTCTCATCCCCGCCACGGTTAGGCAGTGTACCAGCCCTAGTTTCCCCAGCAGCAACCCGTGCCCCTGCTCTCGGCTCAGCCTTGGCTACAATCAGGTTAGCTGCTGGTACACCCACACCAGTTGAATGTTCATCCACCATTTCGCCTGTTTTATCCAGCCCTTTAGCTGTTGCCCTGCCCAGCCCCATCATGCCACCCCTCTCCTCAGCTGCAGCTCCCGTGTTAGCGGGCACACCAGCTTTGCACTCTTCTGTTGCCCAGCAGGTGGTTTCAATGACAACCCCGGGCCCAGGCATGCAGCCCCAGCAGACGGCAGTTGGAATCGCATCCCCGTCCACCGCTCCATCGTGGGCTTCAGTGCACACGGTAACGCATCAAGACGGCACATCTGTCAGAAAAACGGTGCCTGCAGTCATGCAACCAGTGCTCGCTGGCGCACGAACACAGGTATTGCCAACAGTGGCTGTCCCACCTATCGTAAGTGCAGCGTCTAGGATGCAGACGCTTCCCGTTGCTACAGTTCCACCGATCGGAAGCACTTTCAACACATTCGATACAGCACCTGTGGTCACAGCACCTTCATCCAGCAGCAGTGTAACCATCGCTTCAGCTCAACCAATTGCATCACTGAAGACAAACGACACGACCCACCCGCCCGCTGTTACGCCCAATCAAGCTCTTGGAAAGCACCGTCTGCAGACCACATCCTTAGGTATGCACACCAATGTGGCATCCAAGCTACTCATTAGTTCTGACGCCGCTGTTTTGAACGCGGCTCAGTGCCAGGTCAACCCAGTCGCCTGCCCCAATCCGCTGGATGCACTAGTGGTTTCCCACAACAGTCCCACCAGGGCATTACACGAACATGATTCCTCTTTGCAGCCCTCACAGGCAGACAGAAAGTGTACCAAGTAACAAAGACTGTGCCAGCTATGTGAGGAGCTGCTTAGTGTTGCCTGGGCTCATATCCATTGCTTGTAGTAATCCTGGGGTACGTTTAAAAACTGCTTTCCAGCTGTAGTTTGACTAGTAACATTTAGGATGCAGTAGGTTATACCCTTTGGTTATATCTTCTTATAGGTAAACCGTATGCTCAATCAGACATACTGGAAATGTATACTGTGATGGTTTTCTCAAGTGACAACTGGTGAGGTTGCCCTCCGATGAATGTTATAGACTCTTTTTGTTTTTTTTTACTTCGTGGCCAGTAATGACTCGTTACAACACAGGAGTAGAATTCGATGGTAGATAAAAGGAAGTTGAACTTGAATCTTTTAAAAATACTTTTCAATGCCATTAAATACTGCTTCAAGAACTAGTAATTGGGATACTATTCATTGGTAGAACTTGCTCTACTTTGTCAGTTTGAACAATAGAACTGTCATGTTGTCCTTTTTTCAACTAGTAACTGTTTTTGAAACTACATTTTACTTTTTAGATCTATAAGTAAACTAATAACTGAATTTGTACTACATGTTTGAGCTCATATAAAACGTTTTGAAGTCACATTTATTTATTTTGACCATATAGATTTTTCAGAAATGTTTACTAGGTACATTTTCATTGAACAAAATGTGGACGTTACTGCATGGGAATAAACAATGCGACTGTCCCCAACCCTGTGTTTGAGCTGCTTCCTTATGCACAGACTTTTTAAATCTTTTTTTTTTTTTTTTTTTTTTTATTGTTAACTGAAACAACTTTACAGTATATACATTGTGTTTTTGTTCATGTTAATAACTTTACAAAGTGAAGAATAGAATAGTTTCATCTACTGGTATATTTAGCTACGAAGCACAAGAAACCATCAGATTATCTATCATCAGACAACCGAGGAAGTTAACAGTTTGTTCTCTGGTATTTTCCTTCATCTGTCCGTCTTCTTCAGAAGTCCTTTAGGGGGAATAGGGAGGAGGCAGCGGCCCTGAGGAAATCTTCTCATAGGCGGGAGGAGCATTAGGAACCTGGAGTAGAGTGCAACAAATGCATCCAAATGAAAACAGATAATACTGACTATTGATTTCCACACTCTGACATGTTCACATATTTCACTGAATCTCTATTATGTGTTTATAAAGTACTGAATGTACAAATAGATGCCTATCATTTATACACAAGAAATCAAGCATATCTGGAAACTTTAGGCACTCTAGGTTTAAACAGTCAGGGTCTTTGTCTTGATGGACTCAGCAGTGCGTCCAGCGTGATTAAAATTCTCTGAGGGCTCTGGTAACTACTGCAGTATAAAAGGATAGGCATTGTTAAAGGACATGGTGCTTTACAGTTTATTCTCACATGTGAAGGTGCTGATCTGATCCTCCTCCCTCCACTGTTCCAGCACACATGGATACACATACCTCCCTCGGGAATGAAACATTTTTAACTTTCCCCTAGTCTGGTGACACAATCTCCCTTTCAGGCATCCATTACATCAGCTTCACATGTGCTATACTGTTGCACTTAATAACCCTCTGGCACAGACTGTACAGAGTTTAAGATTACCTCCTAGTTAATTGTTTATTGGAGGTGCTAAGTACTTGTGTTTCTGGCTATTGATTATTGTTATCAATCCTACAAAATAAAATAATTGATTTAGGGACAGGGAGATACAATGGAAGGCCAGTAAAGCGAGTCACGGGGTAACTTTCTGTCCCTCACCATAGGTCGGAAACTGCCGAAGTCAGTTAGTGCCATCTTGTTATCATCTGAAGGTCCTGCCTCTGAGTACTGGCCTCCTGTGTGACTTGGTGACCCTGATCTAGGGCTCTGCTGGGGAGACAAAATCCCATGTGAGGAATTATGCGAAAACAGCAATAAATTAAGATTGAACAGATATACAAAGGGGAACATTGGAACACAGATACTTAAAAGAGTCAATCAGATAAAGGCCCATGAATATGCCACATTATATGAATTAGCAAATGAAGAGTGGAAATCACTTTATAGATTGTATGGAATTTTGCAGAATCAGCTAAAACCTGATTTTACTACAACAAAGATAAATCCTTACTTTAAGTATACACTGTGAAGGCTAAAGAAAGTATGATGGTCTCACCCTGATTATTTTGTAGCCACTCCTCTTCTTAAAGTACCAGCAGCCCAGGATGAAGACAGCTGCCAGGATTACCACCAGCAGAACTATGCCCACCGCCCTGTGGTTCAAAATTCACATTTTTACATGATCAATTTTATTTTTTGGCATATCAGTTTTATATTCAACACAATACAGCTATGTACAATATAATAATTTAAGGAACATCAGTGTACAAAAAGCTATGTGATACAATCAAGGTATCGAGCCCTGATTTCAAAATAAAATTGATCCACTTACTCCTCAGCTCGGACGTATCCCCCTCTGCTGCTAGCAAAATAAATGTTGAAATCTCCACGAGGCATCCCGTCTGTACGATTGCACCGCATCAAGCTGAAAGTCAACCGAAAATCCCTTTAGAAACGGACCAAGTTCATTGTACAGTAGTAACATAGTGAACTCTTTTATAAAAACACATTTTCATTCAGTGCATCAAATCATTTTTGATCATGATTTGTTGCCTTTAGAATATAATCCCTTTTGTTAATTAATTTATTCCTCATTGGCTTTTTGTTTGTTTGTTTGTGACACAATAGTTTCTGCTGTCTGGATTTGAATTTTCTGCATTTGAACCTTCAGACAGAGTTTAATTCGTCCTGCTTATCAAATTAAAATTGGATTGGCTACATCATGGATCACTGCCCTCACTACTCTGAGCCATCGCGTGTCCTGTTGCACTCTGGTCCCGTCTGTCTCTCACCTTGTGTTGACTGAGGCTCTCTCTCCCAGTGCTAAGTGCTAGGTCTTAAGAGAAATATGTCAATACTTAGACATTAGGTTTTTTTTGCAAATAACGAAAATGAGTAGCTATATTTATTTACGTTAAGTTTGAATTGATGCCAGGCAGTCTACTTCAGCATAGAACATAATCTTTTGTCCTGTCTGATCAGGTCATATTTACTAAATGTAACGCTTTGCACAATACAACACATTCTACAGTAGGCCAGGCCTATATTTCTGCTAGAAAACATAATCAGACCATCATCTTACCAAATTGGATAATTAGATTACAGAGAGTCGCTCCTCTGGTCGGTCCTTGTAGCTCTGTGTTACTTCACTCCTCAAAGATCTTGCCTCAGTATGTGAGAGAGCAGAGAGGGGCACAGAACCCTCATGACCGTCACGGGTTAGAGGCTCATGGCTAAATCCATTGAAGCAGAGTAATTACCGTGAAACCCTGCGGTCTTAAACGCAACAATATTATTCACTCGTGGAACTACAGGCGTCAGCTGCTGGCTTTTCCATATGATATATGATATATATGTGTGTGGTATTGTTATTCATAAATAAGAGCTACAGTAAATCTGTAGGCATTGTTCAACCTAGTCAATAATAAAATGTGTGTGTGTGTAAAGCACGAAAAGGATCGCTTTTATTTCCTCAGTGTATTGCTGTAGAGCAGGTCCTGAAGGCATCCTTTTCGGTTTCAGGTGGATTCATTCTGCCCTTTCTCCTTAATAATAATGTCCATCCTCAGACTCATGTTGAGCTTCATATGTTTTAAATAAATCACCCTGTTGATCTTTGATAATGGTCTTTAGATAGAATAAATGTCAGAGTAAAATACTTTTTTTTTTACAGCAGCTCATTCTCAGTGTCATAAAATTGTTCTTGTGACATTTGTTTGCTTTCAGCTTTCAAGCTGTGCAACACAAGAACAGTTGTGTTGCATACAATGCCACAGTCTTAAAAAGCTAAGCTGGACAAGGAGGCACCCAGACTGAAGGATAGGAAAACTTTGCTTTAGTCTGCAAAACAAAAGTTTTGCAGACTAAAGGGGCGACTGTGGCTAAGTGGATAGCAGGCAGGGCTGTCCTTCAATCAGGGCTGTCCTTCAATCCGACGGGACCAGAGTGCAACAGGACACGCGTCGGCGGTTCGATCCCCGGCTCCGGCTCTGCTAGTCGATGTGTCCTTGAGCAAGCCATTTAACCCCAAAATTGCTCCCATAGCTGTGCCTACGGTGTAGAAATGTGATAGAATCTGAATTGTAAGTTGCTTTGGATAAAAGCGTCTACTAAATGACTGTAATGTAATAATGTAAAAGTAAAATATGCTCCGATCAGCAAGTTAAATTCCTCGTACAAACATATATGGCAATAAACCATTTCCGATCCGGAAAAATATTTTTCTCCACAAGAGGGAGACCAAAACTTGTTTATGAGTCAGTATGGATTTGTCTCAAGCTGTAGCCTACTATGTGCCATCCTAATAGGCTACATGTTGGCCTAAAATACTTTAAATTAGTGATTGTTATCTATTGGTTTGCATGTTTCTACACCTCTACATCCCAGTTATTAAATGAATTGAAAAAAGAATAAACATAAGATATGGCTTGAGGGTTTTTCTAATAAATGACACTGTATGTACATTGCACATCCTAGTTTGAACACTAGAAGTCAAACTACATTTTGTGAAATCATCTCTGCCCTAACCGCTTGCCACAGAAAACAATACTTTAACATTGCTGCCTGTTCTGTTTGTTACATCTTAAAATTTGACTTACAGATTTGTATCTTCTAGATTTTCATCATAATATTTTAAGTGGGCACTTTGATCGTTATCAGAAATCAACATTTGGCTTGTTTTAACTTAACTTTTCTACATATTTACACACAACATCATACTAATTTAATTGAAGACTTGGGGCCATGCACTGTATTAGAGTTTATTGACTATTGAATTGATTTAAATTAGATTTCAGAGCAGCAGGTACAGAAATACTTATTATAATATGTAGTCACACCAATAAATTACTGTAATGTTAAACTGTTTAGCTGTGTTGCATAGTTCATTTAATTGAATATGAATGTTCTAAGGCTCATGGAGTTTGCTGATCTAGAAACACAGATTTTCTTGCCGTGTAAGTGGTGGAAAATTACACATTCACTATTGTTTGGCCAGTGACATTTTTCAGGATATGGCCCACAATAAAAGAAGTTTGGCACCTCTGACTTGAGAGGAGGATACATTTGCAGCTTTGGGTAATGGTGGGCATGTTTATTAATGGGAAATACATACATCATTTCTCAGTTGAATAGACAGACAAATTAAAAAAAGTGAATGACAGATGATCAGAAAAAATAACGAAGGTAATGTTAAACATTATTAAATAGTAATATACATATAGATATGAATGCTCCAGATGTAAACATTACAGACCAATGGTTCCAAACCTGAAGACTAGTAGCCTATATTTATCATTACTGGATTTCATTATTTTCCACAATTGTTTTTCTTTGAAAGAATAAATACCATCGTTATAACACTGAATGATCCCGGTGCTTGCTGGCAGTTATCAATGGACATAGACGTTAATTATCCACGGCTCCTCACCGGTTGAGGGAGTTATTCCCTTTACCGGTTCTTCCGGTCGTCATTTTGAAAGAGACAGAGAGAGAGATAGAGGGGTTGGGGGATAGGCAATGTGGATCCCCCCTTTTCCTCTGTTCATCAATTGTTTTCACCAGCGAAAATTAACCGGTACCCTACAACGTAACCTCCAGCTTTCTGATTAATAGCAGCCTGATAAGGCCGGTTGGAGGGGATGCTCTCCCCATCCCAGCAGACATGTTCGCCGTGAGAGAGAAGAAAGCCCCCCCAGTCCTCCCGACGGGTGCCGTTGTGTAAGCTAGTACTCGGAGGAGCTGTTTGAACAGTGGGACGGAGAGGGAGCCAGAGACTCTTCTCCAGCTGCCATCCTGCTCCTCCCCCTCCTCCTTCACCACAACCACTTCTCTTTCTCATCACATCCAAAGGTAAATAAGCCAGATTCAACAATAACAACCTCTATTCAGAGAAATTGTTTCGCTTCCCGGGTGCTTCCGGTTTGTCGGACCCATTGGAGCAGCCGTTGGGAAACCGTTAACAGAATCGGCCAAGGCGATATTTGTGATTTGTGATGGGGTCTTCGCTTTGTACCCCTGCCTCCCTGGCGTCGGGTCGGGGTTACGCTTCCTAAGGCAAGTCCGAGGTCCACTTTGTGAGCTAGTGATGCGTGGATGGAGGCCATGGGAAGTGTGAGGTGAACATCTAAACCCACACACGAGCTATACGGTGGAAAGAGCGACGTAAAGTAGGCTAACTCGGGTTGATGCACTCCCGGTGATGCTAGCTTAACGTTAAGTTACAGTAACGTTACCTTGTTAGCATACATTAGCTAACTACCTCGCCAGTTGTTGCTAGCCGGCTATCCCTGAGTTGATTTTAGTCACTTTCACAGACGTCGCTATGCTGCTAGTCGTTTTAGCGAGTCTGTAAAACGCCAAAGATAGTAATACATGAATAATAATAAAGTCACATCTGGTGCTAGGTTAAGCTAACGCTAATGTCCCTGTTAGTGGACAGCCCCGGAAACCTTAGCTGACAGTGTAACAAAAGAAATAATTTGAGCTTTAACTAGAAGGTTTTCTGAATTGCATTTTGCTTGTGGGTTTCAGCTACCACAATTGTGATTAAAACAACTCTGCTGTCTTTAAGATTAGAGATACATAGAGAGAGAGAGAGACAGAAATGTTGTAACTTTTATCGTTAATTTGATCAAAGAAAAGCTAGCTAGGTTAGGCACTACTCGAGTCTATTTGCATTGCACGACATACTTCATTCGTATGAGAGCCAATAGTAATTGTAACCTTACGTTTATGCATTAATTGCATGTTCGAGTTGTGCAGGTTGAAATAAACCAGCTAAAAATGCACACACTGAAGCTGTGTATGTATACCGTTAAAGGGACCAGGGAACAAGATGGTTTGGGCACCAGAAGCTGATATAAATCAATAACCTATAAGGGCATGCCCAGGCTTGCTATAAGGCCGGTGTTGTGAGAATAAAGTTTCCTCGTCGATATGTGTTTACCCCTACATTAACCTAAACCAACCCTTATCCCTAACCACAAAGGGTGGCGCTATCTTTTTAACAAGAGATAAACACTAATTGACGAGGGAACAGACTTCGACGTAACACCGGTATAAACTGTCTGCGTCGGAGGTGCAGTTATGTTGGCAGTGTAATAATGCACACTCATGAGCTGACACTTTTATATCTCCATCCCAGAAGAAGCACAATGTAGTAACAACTGGCCTTTTCTTAATACTCGCAATCCTAACATAACCAATGCTGTATGTAATGACATCCATACTTTTTTGACAGTGAACATTCTCTAAAAGTGTCTTTTGCCACTTTTTTTTTTTTTTGTCTCTGCAGCATTTTGGAGATGTGAGGAGTAGGAAGAGATTGGTGGTATTGAGCAGCCTGTGCATTGACGCGACCTTTTGACTTCATCTTCAGCATGAATGGTGATATGCCTCATGTTCCCATCACTACTCTTGCTGGAATTGCTAGCCTGACAGACTGTAAGTGCAACATCATCTCCCTCTAATGCTGTTCACACAGCCTAAACACTCAAATTCAAGCCAAGATGTGGCACGTTTAAAGAATACTCAACTAGTGAAATGGTGTGTAGTGTTCTAGTGCTTCTAGTATAATGTGAAGTTCTACTAGTAGCTAAATACTTGTAATTGTGATGCTTCTCACAGCTCAGCTTGTGTGTAAAGATATGATTTATTGCAGAACTATTGTATTTGAAAGATACAATAGTTCAAAATGTATCTTGTTAACTTGATGAACGTAGAGGTTGATGGACCTTTCTTCACTCTAGTGACACTGTATTCTTTTAAGTGGAAGATGAAAAGAAGCACCACATTTTTTTATCATGAGTTTTGCATGTATTCTGAGGCCTTCAAATGTTTACCCAAAAACTATCAAGCTTCAGTGGACATATCCAAAATATACATTGTCTAAAAAGCTCAGATTGTTTCACTGACATTTGGCATTACTACCAAATAAAGTGGGCCAGTTGCACGTTTTCACATTTTTAATTATTACATACACAAATATTTATGTACTAATCTTTTCCCCAAACTGTTTTCTTTTCCTATCCTACTTCCTTTCATTTCCCAGCCAACCTAACTTTTGTCCATCATCCTTTTTAGTGTTGAACCAGCTGCCCTTGCCGTCTCCTCTCCCTGCCACCACTGCTAAGAGTCTGCTCTACAATGGAAGGATCTCTGAAGAGGTCAGCAGCTTGCTGGTGTGTCGGGACGAAAATCTGGTGACTCAACTGGCACATAGCCTGAACCAAGTCTCCACTGAACACATGTAAGTACCGCTCACTGATCTTTCAAGGATTTTACATTCATGAGAGGAGCGCTTGCCAGAAGCTACGACAGTAGATTGGGGAAGAAATCAATGTTAAGCCGACTTTGTTGTCAACAGTGTTAGTGGAAATGCATTGCAAATGTATTGTTTCAGTGTTTAATTTAACAGTGTGTGAAGGACCTAGCAGAGCAGGTAAAGGTGGAAAAAATTTAGATTTTAGTCCTTTAAAGTATGAACAACAATTTAAGATAGGTAACAAAATCAAGCAAAAGTGACAAATTTGAACTAGAAAATGCATTTCCTGCTGAAAATGCGTTGGAATGATGAAAGCTGAAATGAATTGCAAAAACATTGCTGAAAATAGATATCCAATTTAAAAACAATTGCAAAAAGCTTAATAATTCAAAAAGTTGAAAGATTACAAATATGAGGTCATATCACCCCTCTCCTGAAAGAGCTGAACATTTTGATATTCGAACGGTTTCTGTAGCTTAAAAAAATTTCAGCGGTAGTGATATTTGTTGTAGTAGTAGTAGAAGTTGTAGTTGTTGTAGAAGTATTATTAGCAGTAGAAGTATTAGTAGCATTTGAATAAGTACTAGTTGTAGCAGTAGTGATATTTGTAGTAGCAGTAGTAGTAGAAGTTGTCGAAGTATTAGTAATTGGAAGAAGTAGTATCAGTAGTCGTAGTAATAGCTGTAGTAGTGGTCGTAGTATTTAATATAACAGTAGTAGTAGTAGAATAAGTAGTAGTAATAGTAAAGTCAGTTTTTGAAGTAGCAGTAGAAGTAGTACTAGTAGCAGTCGTACTAATAGCTGTAGTAGTAGCAGGAATAGCAGTAGTAGCAGTTATGGTATAAGTAATAATAGTAGTGGTAGTGGTAGTAATAGCAGTAGTGGTAGAAATAATAGTGATGGTATCAGTAGTAGTAGAAGTAGTAATAGTAGCAACACCAGAATAAGTAGAAGTAGTAGCAGTAGTAGTAGTAGTGATACTAGAAATATTAGTAGCAGTAGTTGTCGCAGTATTAGTAAGAGCATTCATTATTTCAACAAAAAAGCCTAATTTTGAGCTTAACGTTTAAATACAGTTAATCTATGAGGCTTTTATTTTGAAAGGGTGGGACTGGGTGGGGGAGAGGAGACATAATCTTAATGTTTGACACACATAAACAGAGGTTATTAAATGACAGGCTTCATCACAAGCATTTCAGTTAGAATTCACTCTTTGGGGCTTTTATTTTGAAATGGGGTGTGG